CTTCCTAATACCCAACCTAAATGTATGCTCTTTCCCCCAAAGGCCATTCAMCCTTGTCCTATCACTAYGTGCCCTTGTGGAAAGACCTTCACCTCTCAGCCTCCTCCAAAGTGGTTCTAAAAGAGGCCAAGGTGGAACTGTTCAAACCTGAAGTGGTTTGTAACAYCCCATTTAAAGCTGGCTGCAGGAGGTGAAATGGTGGCTGATAGGATGCGATTTTCTAATGAGTTTCCAGGAAATGCTAAATTCTGAAAAATGAAATTAGTGTGCAAAAGGGAAAATGAGATGTACCGGAAGAGACAACTCACTCTTTTGAGAATATTTCAACACCTCCAGCAATTCTCTGAAGAAAAGTAACCACAACAAATGAAATGGAAAACCATAACAGACTCTGTTAGGGTGATAAACTGAAAAGCTAAAAAAAGCCCCAAAAATCCAAAAACCCAAACCACCAAACCATTCCAAATGAAAATACCATTTTCACCCTGGAAGTTTGCCATAAATAGTATAATGGAGGTGTGAAAGTCCATTCAGAGTAGGTGGAGGCTCAGCAGAAAAACACAGCAGCAAGGAATGAAGAGAAATTCCCACCCTGCAATCTCCTTCTGCAGGGACAGATGCTTCAAGTAAAAGCAGTTAGYAGGGTATGTTTAAACCCCAAATGATAACACAAACAGTAAATTTTATAAACATCATTTATTCAAGAGCTGTGGAGGAATTCCAGTGAAGTGCCATGGAATAGCATCCACAGGCAGATAGGGAAATGGGATTAAAGGGGAAGAAACAATCCCACTCTAGCAGAAGAAAGTCATGTGTCACTCTTTAAAGGTGTGAGTAGTCCAGCTTAATGGATGTTGATGGATGTTCCTGCATGCCACAAACACTTTCAGCAGAATTCCACACCAAATGTCCTTAATTGCTCTCCTCCACAACAYGCTTACTCCCATGGTTAATAGCAAGACAGAAGATAATGAGTGGAAAAAGGTCAGTGTTTAAAATGGAATGTACCAGTGTGTCCCACCAGGATCTACGCTAGGGCTTTTGATTTTTGATGTATTCATAAATGGTCTGTGTGYGGGCAGTGATGGGGAAGAGTTTGATGGTGCGGCTGAAGAACGCAGTGAAGTGAAAATGAGCGAGATCTCAGAAGAGAGAGCTGGGTGATAAAATGACAAATTAAAATGTTGTCATACGTAATTTACAAGGAGAAGCCCTACCTGCACAAAGAAAGGGTTCAGTCATCCCCAGCTGGAAAGTGGCCTGGGCTTCAGTTACAGTTTTTCTCCCTTCCTTCTCAGAGAAGGTACATGGAATTCAGAAAAAGAAAAAAAAAAAAGGGGAAAGGGAAAATCAAACAAGTAGGACAAAGAAGATAGCCAAGGGAGACAAATGGATGTATTGAAAATCATTTGCAGTGACTGAGGTAATTTGGAAATGATTACTTGTTATGTTTTATGGTATAGAAGCAAAAGATATTGATTAAGTAACGACGTAGCAGGTTAAAACCCAAATAAATTTAAGTACTTCTTCACTATGTATTGTGGAGTCTCCCTCRCTGGAGATACTCAAGAACCATCTGGATTCAATGCTCTGCAATGTGCTCTAGGAGGACCCTGCCTGAGCAAGGAATTGGGACCAAATGTGATGCCTTCCAGCCTTACCCATTTTCTGATTCTCTGAGTCTGAGGAATTAATTAACTAGGAATTCTTGGATRTAAAACAATCTAGAATGGACCAAAAGGAATCAGGTGCTCTTATAAAACAGCAGCCCAACAAGGACTGCTAGACAAAGTGGTCCTTTGGTCAGAATTAAGCAAAGCATTGCTGAAAACATGGCAGAAAGAGCATGGCTTTATGCCTACACTTCTCCTCCATCCCCTCCAAGCACACCCCGCTGTCTATCCTCACAGCTAAAATCCAGCACTGTCTTTGTCCCCTAACTGACACAGTGGTTTCTATGCTCTTGTAATGCACCAGGAGGACCAAGATGACAGGCAAAGCCCACCTTAGCCAGTCCTAAATGCTGCTGCAAAGCAAAGTCACATCATGCAAGCACTTGGTATGGATCATGAAGTTAACCAGAAGATAGGAAAGACTCTGTCTCAGAGATGCTRTCACAACACTCCAAGGACACTTGACACAAGCTGGAGTGAGGCTAAGAGTAGTGTGGAGTAGCTCTTGTCTGGGATGAAGGCCAAAGAGGTCTTTCAGACACATTTGGGGAAGGAAACATGACAACATACACTAAAATGTTGCCCAGGAAGAAAGCAAACAACACGAAGGCTGCTGCCAGTTTTGTGAAAGGAGTATAAGTGCCATGCTGGTGCTTGGGTTACAGGTTTGCATTCCTAAAGCTCAAGTGTACATCAAAGATTGCCAGACTGAGGAGAGGAGAAGAAAAAAACAGAACTGTGAAAAAGGAGAACAAGAAATGTTGAGAATAAAAGGAATCAAAATTTCTGTTTCAGGCAGCCTGATGGAGAGTTGCTGGCCAGGTACCTCAAGGGCCAAAGGCCAGACAGAGTTTTAGTTTGGACAGAATAAGAMCAACCTGGAGTAGGTCATAGTCCAGAGGTGATTGTCTAAAAAGTTTGCAGCCAATCATTCAAATGTAAAGGACAGAGGGAGGTAAMAAAGGGCCACTTGCTTCTGTTCTGCAAAAACAAGGAAGCAGGTTAGGGAAGCTCTGGAAAGGATGCTGTGAAGCACCAGTTATAGAGACTGAGTGTAGGAGGATGACTATGAAGGCCCGGATTATGAAATAAAACTCCTCCCAAGCCTCAGGCCCAGAGGAGCACTTCCAGTTCTCACTCTGGTGGATTGCAAATCCTTCTTGCTGCTCTTGCCTCCTTCCTATGTACTGGCTGTATCCAGCTCCCCGTGCCTGTCCTTCCTCTCAGAGCTCAGCTGAAGTCCCATGGATGAAAGGGATCCACAGGCTGCCTGACTCTCCTGTGGGTGCTGCCCCTGCTCACTCAGCCCAATGCAGGCTGATTGCCCTCTCTGAGAGGGCATTCTCATCCCATGCACTTCATCATCCACCAGCTGAAYTATAACATGATCATGAAAGGTCTTCCCACTCTGGCTTACATAATTTATTCTTTGCTTTTTTTCTGAGGCATAACTTTCCAAGTGCCACAAGGTAAGCTGCTGCTGTAGGGAATGAGGTAGGGCTGCTCATCTACCTGCTCCTCTTCAATGGATAATCGGATYGTAGAATCATAGGAAGGCTCRGGTTGGAATGGACCTTAAAGGCCATCTCATTTCAGCTCCCTGCCATGAACTGGGCACCTCCAACCACAGCAGGTTGTCCCTGTAGTCTGGCTTTGAACACTTTCAGGGATAGGGCATCTACAGCTTCTCTGGGAAACGTGTTTCAGTGTCTCAACCACCGTCACAGCAAATAATTTCCTCCTGATATCTGATCTAAACCTGCCCTCTGTCATTTTGAAGACATTGCCCCTTGTCCTACCACTATAACTCCTTGTAAAATGTCCATCTCCATCTCTCTTGTAGCCCCTTTAGGTAGTGAAAGATGCTATAAAGTCTCGCCAAACACTTTATTTATAGACTGAACAATCCTGACTCTCACAGCTTATCTTCATAGGACAGTCATCCTCAGTGAGAAGATGAAATAAATTCTTAGCTTTCACAAAGTGATGACTGACCATGAGCCGGGGGGCACACAGGCAGTGATGGCACTAGAGATATCAAATACACATTTTATTCTTCAGCAGCCTGTTGTATTCCCAGCTCTTCCYTCAGTTTTTCCCGACTCCTGGCACACATTTGTGTCCGTGACAGYCCAACACCAGCCACACTGCTCTCCAGAAGCTTGGCTAAACTTTGCGTGTAGGCAGGGCACTGACTGTTTGCTAATGACTCGGCAAACCAGAGCCTTGCAGAAATTATGCCAATGCCTCCYGTGTTGCATAACCTACTCTGACCAGCAGCTCTCACCCTGTCTTCCCTTGGCTCCCTCCTGCCTTGTCACAGAAAAATCAGAAATAACAGATGTGCAAGAAACTTGACCTGCCAGCRCAGGTGTGCTGCCTGGGTCTGTGCCAGGCTCTTGGCTGCACACATCGTGATTCAACTTCCCACCCTTTGCAACAGGGACAAAAGAAATCTGTGATTGATCTGCCCTAGTTTGGGGAAGCTTGRCAGATGTGCCATGCAGGCCTAGCAGAGAATGGTCCTCATGTCATTCCCCTCGGTGTCACTTGTGAGCTGTGCCTGCAGCAGTGCAAGCACTGCTGGGGAAAAGCTCTTCACCACCCTCCATGGGTCAGCATGAGTTCTGCCAGGCTGCAGGAGAAAAGGGTGCTGCAGCTGGATCTTAGCCCTGGGCTTGCACCACGTTCTTTGGCACAGGAACTAGGAAAGAGTTACTGGAGGTACKTTATTACTGACATGCATTTCACACGTGTCTCTGTGCACGAGTTCCTAGAAATGTTTTGACCATGAAGTGGTTCTGTGTGCTGCCCAGAAGGCAGACTTCCCGGTGGCCCAGCAGTGGARTAAAACCAAGGAGAGCCCTGGAAAAGAGGCCAAGGCTGCCCAGCAAAATGCCCCTGGGCTCAGCCARGAAGAATCTGCAAACAGCAGCCTTTGACTGCCTGGACTGGTTCTGTCCTGAACAGCTTCAAAGCAGCTGCCAAAACCCAACACAAGGAAGAGAAAAGGTGTGTTAAAGCTGCAAGGCAGTGTTGTGGAGAGCCAGCAACAGCCACTGCTTCCCTGTCTTGMAGCCAGCAGCTCTGCCTTGTGATCCAGCACAGCTCAGCACCAGAGCAGCGGGAGGAAGGAGAAATAGCCCTGTGACTAAAGGCAGTGCTGAGGTATTGCCACTCATGCCCGATATCACATTGATAACAGCACCAAGCCGGACTCAGCTGTGCTCGTGCCTCCCAGGAATGGGGCAGGCAGGGTGGGCAGCATGGCTGTCCTTCAGAGCAGAGCCAGGGAAACTCAGCACATACACAGAGAAGAGACTACTACAGGTGGAGTAAGGAGTGCTCCAGAGCTACTTCAGGAGTAGATAAGTACAGGAGTGGCTGCTACAGGTAGCAGTTGTATGCCAGGGTTAGTATCCACCATCAGCACACAGCTTTTCCACTGAGACTCCACCTGACCCCATGTCTACCCTCAGAGGTGGYAGCTGCTCTCTTCCATTTGCAATCTGTGGCTGAGCTGATTGCAGGTAACAGGAACAAAGAAAATGGTGATCTTCTCCTTGTAGGAAAAAAAGAGATTTATTTTCAAATGTAGGAAAGACAGTACAAGTGGTATGGTCCTTTATGTTCCAAGCCCTCTACTCTCAGTGTAAAGCAGCATGYTGTCCAGCCAGAATGTGTAGTGATTCCAAGATGAGTGAGAAGGTTTCACCAATGATTCCCTGGCTGGAGCTCTGGTTAAGGACTGTGGAGCAGTGTGCCAGCACACTGCTGCAAGGGCAGTGAATCCCCTTTAAAAGAAAGATCTTCTTGACCTTGTCTCAGCTTCTGTTCAAGTGCTCCTGCACTCAACAAAAAAGACTTCAGTTTTATTTCTTACTGCCCAAGCCCACCTTCCCTTGGCTCCCAGAGCAGCAGATACACAGGACCAAAATAGAGGRTATTTGAAGAGAAAGAGGTAGGTAATCAGGTATTAGTGACAGAACAGGTTGTTGGGAGATATCCAGTTTGTGRCTGTTCACAGTGCTAGGTGAGGAGTCTCCAGGAACATGGAAGAATGGAGACACAGATTGTCAGGCACTGTGGACCTGTGCAGAGTGTGACTGCTCCCATCCTCTTCTCTCTGCCAGGATCAGACTGGTCCAGACACTGCAGTCACAGCACAGCTCAGTGCTGAGGAAGGTTAACTTCTGCATCAGCCTTGCCTAAAAGCACAAGGCCAGCAGGGTTCAGGGGAGAAAAAAAAAAAGTTAAAAAAAGGGAAGAAGTCTGCCGTATGTCTGGACWTGTTCATTAGGCAAGGCCCAACAGCACTGGAAGAGGACAGGTCTGAGCCACTTGGACCTGCAAGACAGTCAAGAAACACAACCCATTGGAGGACATCATTCAGCCATCCCAGCACAACAAGCTTGCTGTTATGTGTGCAGATCCCACGTGTTTTATCTTCCTTCTGCCTAAGCTCAGACACAGGGGCATCCCTGGGTACATCAATGAATGACACATGCAGGAATGAAACAAATCAAACACTTCAAGGAGAGGATTTTCTCAGCTATCAAATAGATCCTGTCTTTCTCAGCTATGAAGAGAAAGACAAGACAGATCCCAGCTAAAAAGCTTTGCTCCAGCATGAGTCCCAACATGGGACCATGCTTCCAAAAGCTGGCAATCCTGGTGCATGACTGGAAGCCCTGAGTGGGTCAGCAGCCAAAAGCATGGTCTTCTGATCCCTCTCCACTCTCAGCTGACCCATACCCAGATCCTTCCAGAGGTGTCCAACAGCACCACTACAGCTCCCAYCTGCCTTCAGCAGCTGAGTGGGACAGGGGAGCTGCACATCCACTGGATATTTCAGATAATGAAGAGTCCGTCAAAAAGCCTCTCCCGGCCCAATCCACACTCCCCTAACCCACCCACTCAATCCCAGCTGTGTTTCCGCTGCTGAGACTTTGTTCAAAGTGCTCTTTACAGCAACAAAGTTGCTGCCTTTCCCCAMCTTCTGAGCTTCCCTTCAGCTCGCTGCCCCTGCCACCCCAAGGGGCTCCCTGCCCAGCCCTTCTCTCCGCCCCACTGAGCCACTGCAGCTGACTATTGAGGCATGCATTCTGGTAGCCCTCGTCCTCCCAGCCCCAGGCCTCCAACAAACTGTGAGCTCCCTCCAGCAGCCTCACCATTGCACTGCAAGCACTCTGCGCACCACAGCTGCTGGGAACCCAAACTTAGGCTCATTTTCCCTGGTTTTCCTCGTCTCTTTGTAGCCCTGGGATGAGAATTGGCTGCAGGTCTCTGTTTTTTCCTGCTCTATTTCTACACAGCTTGTGGCCAAGAGATGCCACAGGTGGAACACGAAGGAAAGTGTTCCTTTGCCCCTCCATTTCTCAGGAAGCTGCAATTGCTGTTTTCCCTCTTGTGCACCATCTCCTCTTACCGTGTCGCTCAGGCTGTGCATCCTCACTGCAGAGAGCTCCTCTGTTTAGACATGTTCACAGGAGTGGAAGTGAACTGTGGTGAGAAGCAAAGAAACAGCATTGAGGGGAGCACAGGCTGGCAAGGAATATTCCAAGGAATTCAGTTCTGATCCCCAGATCACCAAATAAAACCTAGGACCCAGGAGCTAAGAAACCAAGTGCTACTTGTGGAAGCCGCCCCTCTCCCACCCCTGACAGGAAAACTCCATTTGTCCCAGARGGGTTGTGGCTTGGCAGAGGACATGCCCCCGGTCACCTGCTGGATTTCCTGCATTGCCAGGCGTATGGAAGAGCGGAGGCGAGGAAAGGCTCCTTGGCTACTCTCTTCAGAGCTTGGCTTTGTCCTGCTTTTSTCTGGGGTTTGTTGGTTTTGGAAATTCTTGGTCCTTCTGAACCACTGTAGAGCAGGTTTGCTGGTGGAAGTCACAGGGGGGCAGGACTGCTTCTCTGGAGGGGTCTCCCCCTTGTCTGCTGGTGAACTCAGTGTGAGGCACTCCAGATTTTCGTAATTCAAACTCTCACTACTCTTCTGGAAAAAGAAGGAGTGAATTCAGCAGTGGTTTGCAGACCCTTCACATGCACTGAACAGCAMAATGAGGAGAAATACCCAGCTTTGTCCGCTGCTGACATTCTGGAGGCAGGGGGACATCATCCACCTGCCAGTGCCTCTCCCCCACCCCAGCACTCCCCTGCTAGTAGCATTTCCCAGTGCATGCAGAAGYAGCCAAGCTGCTTGGCCAGAATGGGACACCCCTCCACAGAAGCACAAAAGAGCTGCTGCTGTGACTTTAATCACTAATTTAATGACTTTAATAGTCTATGACCTATCCTCTTTCCCTGCTGCAGACCCTTGATACTCACCTGCCCGCAGGGAACAGTCAGTATCTCCATRAAGGGCTGGATGCCCACGGTCTGGTGATAGCGAACCAGCTCGGTGAGCGAGGYGTGAGCCCGGTCCTCCCCCAGGATGACGTAGCGTGCGTTGGGCTGCATCTGGATCATGTAGTGCCGGCAGCGGCCCTCACCCCTGGGGAGAGGGACAGGTACAAACAGTCACAGCTTGGGCCCTCAGCGTGCCAGAGCCCGGCTCCTGCTTCCTGCACTCGTGGTCTCCACAGGCCAGTTGTGATCCTCAGTATCACACAGAGGCAGGAGATGTGCTGTGCACTGCCATGCTGTGCTCACAGGGGCTGCAATCTCCGTGCTCCTTCCAGCCCGGTCTGCCTGATCAGCCATAGGGGACAGCTGAAACAGGACCTCTTCCCTTGGAGCCACAGCACCCCACCCACATGCAGGTCTGTTTCTCCTGCTCTTGTCAGCAAGAGACAATTCTGCAGCATCCTCTCTGCTACTATGAACTCTCTGAGGCACCCACAATGGGATAGGCTAAGCACCATCCTCACTGGAGTCCTCTCCTCCAGGTCATCTCCTCCAGTCAAGCAGTTTATAGAATCACAGAATTCAAGAATCCTATGACTGTAGAATTCTAGAATCACAKAATTCCATGCAGTGCTCAGTTTCACTCAGGCTGGAAAGGCCTTTAAGATTCTYGAGTTCAACCCWTAACCCAGCAYTGCCAAGTCCACCATTAAACCATGTCCCCAAGTGCCACATCTACAAATCTTTTAAATACCTTCAGGGCTGGTGACTCTACCACTGCCCTGGGCAGCCTGTTCCAGYGCTTGACACCCCTTTCTGTGAAGAAATTCCTCCTGACATTCAGCCTGAACCTACCCTGGCACAGCTTGAGGCTGTGTCTCCTTGTCCCGTTGCCAGTTGCCTGGAAGACAAGGCTGACCCTCACCTAGCTACAGTCTCCTGTCAGGAGCTGTAGAGAGCAATAATGTCTCCCCTGAGCCTCCTCTRCYCATTACCTACCGATATGTCAAGATGTAGCCTGGTCGGCTCTGGCTGATCCGAACAAGGAAGCAACCCAAAGGCTTGTCAATCAGCAAGTTTTCAGCTTCTCTGGAATCAGGAAAGAGTTTTTCAGCAGAAAGTCAGCAGCTGGCTTGCCACACAGCAGGGATTCATTCCTTATCTCATGTGTGTCTCACAGAAGTGTCAAAGGGATCCAAGAATCTGCCCCGTGTGTTTTTAGCTACAGGTCTCCTGACTCAGGGTTGGTGGTGCAGGAGGCATTAAAGGCTGAGGAAGCACAACACTCTCRGCCAAACTCTCTCCAAGCAGGGCTGCTCCAAACCTGCTCCAGAAGTCTGATTAGTGCAATAGCAACAGCTGCCTTCCAGCATCAAGCACCTCATAAAGCATCACTGAGATGAGGAATCTGTGCATGTGTGCACCTCCTGTGGCCCAGGGATGAAGAAATCAGGATGCTGTGGGGTACTGGGTAAGCCCAGTGCCTTGGAAAAACACCAACTTGGATTACACCACTGGCTTTCTAAACTTCCTGCTGGAAGGAGGTCTTCCCCCTCTCTGCCCAACAGACAAAGCTCTGCTTTGTGTTTGTCATGTGCCTTGCTCCAGGCTAAAGGTGGCTGCAAATCACCAGTGCAATTTGGGATTGTTCTGGCTGCTCCATTTCATGAAGCTGAGCTCACACTGCTGTAGGGAGACTTAAGTCTCTGCTTGAGTGCCAGTATCTTTGGGAAGGATCTTCCATACCCTGTGTTGTGCAGTACTCATGGTTAGTCTATATTTGAATTTAGACAGTTCTGTCTTCCAGGCATTAGTTCYTCTACTGCATTATTTGATCAGTGGACAAAAGCATAAACAACTTGATAATTGGTAATTATCAAGGTTACGGACCTGATAACTGTCTTTAAAAAAATTAAAAGGAAATGCAGCTACCAGGGAGTTATAAACAATCTTAGTGTTTTTCACACCGTGTAATGTCTCTGAACAATGTACACACTGATAACCTGACAAAATTCAGGAACCTGTGATCTAATAGCACCAAAGAAGAATACAGCTCAAACAGAAAAAAGTTAGAAACTGGAGCAAGATGATGAGGGTGCTCAAAGGGCAGCACATTGACACAGAGATCCCACCAATTAYGGGATATTGGCAATTAAAAAATGTGGAGCAACACAGATCAATTTGCACACAGCTGAAACTATAACACCATCCTGCTCCTATCTGATCACTGGCATAATCAGCATTTCTCTGATTCTCACACTTGTTGGAAAATCAAGTGTGAAGTGTGAGGCAGAACTAGAGAAAAACGATAAGCATTTAAACGAAGTATTGTGAACAGCTCCATAAGAAAGATGGGTTTAGAGGATACCTCTCCCAGCCTAAGGAGAAGTAAATGCCACCTATGCTAACCTCCTTAGATGGCCAGAGATATCAACAAAAACCCTTCCTTTTCCTGTGCCTGGGGACTTTGGTGGAATTCTGCCATCGGGTACTCACTAAAGCCCCTCTTAATAATGTTTAAAATAAAAGTAAGTTGAATTCTGGGGTCTTCTCCCGACCTGAAATACCAAAAACACTCATAATGAACTAACCCACAAGTTCATTTTTATGTCTCTGGAAATGGTTCACAACAGGGCAAATGCATGTGTGTATTTCCTTCCTGATTTCTTACAAGCCCCTCTTCTCTACAAAGGATCTGTATTTAGGGACCCAMAGTGGATTTATTTACTATGAGTTTCCATTATCTTTCAGTGGATCTACCTAAAATTTCAGCATTTGCAGCCTAYGAGAAGGACTTGTAAGTTTCCCCCTAAGGGTTTAAGGGATTAAAARGGAAAACTTAAGCAGATCACTCCCATTCTTTAAGGAAACAAAGCCTGGCCAATGCAACCTACGCAGTCCTCTTAAGGAAGCAGCGGCTTCTGCCTGTGGCTACTGTGTCCAKAGCACTCACCTCCGACTGATCATCCCATGCAGCCAGCTTGGAAAGGCCCCATCATCCTGCATGACCTTCTGGGCCTGTGTCTCYTTGAACCAACGGAGAGTTGCTCCTCTCTTGAGTTTCCTCATTTTTGCTTCTTCTCCAGTCTGTTCCTCAGTTCCCAGAACAGGACGAGGCACAGAAGGGTTCAAGAAATTATCAAAAGGAGTGGACTAAAAATAAGGAGAGAGGGAAAGTCAGCATAAAAGTAAAGTCAAAGGCATGGGACATTTGAAGAGATCACTTTGGCAGGTAACCGCATTCCTGAGTCCCCTAACACAAGATCAGTCCCCAGCCTACCACACGTTGCTTTCAGTTCCTCCAAGGACCATGATTTTTAATTAACTACAGTAGAAAAGGACTCACACTTCTCACACAACAATGACAATGCTATCTTGGGGCCACATGCAGGAGGACATGTGCCTGCAGGAGGTGGATGGAGCAGGGAACCAGCAYGTCTGGCTAAGGGGTCCCCAGCAGAGCCAATATTGCTACCTCTGTGAGTTTGCTGCGGGGCCGTGGCACCGGTGGCTGCTGTGACTTAGCAGAGGGATGAGGAGCAGGCTGAGGGCGCCTCTTCCGTGGCATGGGGACTGGAAGGGAGTTTCTTTCTGAAACAAGAAGAGATGAATAGGTGAAAACTAGCATCCAAGATYCATGAGATCCATCCTCCWCATGACTAGGACRATAACAGGCTCTGCTCTATRGAYTATATGGGAAAAACACAGCTTTGCSCTCCTTCCAGCACAGCCAGGCAAACAAACTTCACCATGCTGCTTCTGCACCCCACAGACAAACCCACACTTCCAAAGAGCAGAAACATCATCAGCCCCCTGCCCACCACACTGATGRGGCTCCCAGTTCTGGGGAGCCAGGGCAAACCATCATCACTGGACTTCACAGCACTTCAAGGTGGTCATCACACCACTGGACACACACAGGGGCACAGGGGCAGTGGGAGTGGGAGCAACTCACCCTGGGCTTCTGCTGCCAGTGCCAGCTGCCGGATTCTTTCTCGCTCTGCCTCGTCYTGTAGCTGCTGTGCTTGAGCCCTCAGCTCAGCCACCAGTTTTAGGAAACTCTTCTTGCACCTGAATCCCCTAAAAACTGTTCAGAGAAAAGTTTGGTTAGAAAAAAAATGCTATTCATGCCTGTGCTTCTCCCAAGGAAGAACACTGTGTAATAGTCCTTCATCCAGTGCAAAGCCCTCAACAYGTGCATCATGTTAATGAAGAGCCATGGGTTACCATTACTCATCTACTGTGAGCAGGCAGTCAAAATTCTGCGAGAACTGAACTGTCTTCTATTCTCTAACCTGCCAGATCATGGATTTATAGAAATCAGATTACAGATCTGATCTCTAATGCCAGGGCTCTGAATACCTAAGAAAGACAGCCTCACAGACGGGCCTGTTAACCATCTACCTCTGGTACCCTTCAGCCACCATGAAAGAGACAGGATTTCCTTGATGCCAGCCCACAGGAAAAAAAAAAAAAACCAAAAACAAACACCAGCCACCACAGGGGTTACCAGGAGCATTACAGACACCGCATGATCCCACCTACCCTACCAGTTATTAAAGTACATGAACTGAAAGCTGCACCCTCTCATTTCCCACTACCCACACATCCTCCCCATGGATGACAACAATGCACAGCTTGTGACAGTCTGATGTTTGTCACACTGCACGGTGCATAGCTGGAAGCTGCTCAGATGCTCCAGCAGTGCAATAATCCATACAGGAGAATCCTCCTCCTCCTCTTCCTGGTTGCACAGTCCTCACATAGCCTGTGCAAAGGGAAGTACCAATCTGCCCACAGCCACTCTGAAGAAGCAAGCTGCTAGAGCAGATGCTATGTGGAAAGGAAAGAAAAAAAMCAGAACAAAACTTCACCCCCGTTTGCCTGTCTCTGAAAGTGGGAGTGAGATCTGCTCCACTCATTTCCCTCTCCCCAGTTCAACACAAGTCACAAACAATCCTTACTCAAGAGGASAGTGAGCCAGATCTCGGGACACAGCCAAATCATGTGCCTGGCCAGCTCAGCCCAGCTCTCCTGCACATGTTTTCCCTTTCCAAGGCTCACATTGTCTGAGGGCTCTCCCTGATTCAGGATGAGCGCTGGGGACACGGACATTTTGCAATAAGTCCTTTGACTTCACAAGGCTTTGACATAGAGATGGCACCTGCCCCACTCTCTGTCCTCTGCACAGGTGGAGCAGGGGCTSCAGAAAAGGTTTTCCTTGCCCTGGTCTGAGATCAGCACTGAGGGATGTTCCTGTCCCAGTGCTCACCTTTCTGTATGACAACTGCTGCGCTTTCCAGTCGCTCCACATACTTTGCCAGCTGCTCCTGATGCCAATATTTAAARAAAAGTCGTGACTTTCTGTGAAGTTGGGAATAAAAAGATGCAGTGAGAAATAGTGTTTGTCTAAATTTGCATCCCTCATCCTCTAAAGAGGCCATTCCTAAAGCCACAAAGTTCTCCCTGAAGAGAACCAGGTAACAGATCACACATATAAAATCTCTGCAATTTAAACCTCCCATTCCCAACAACAGTGATCCATACCTACCCACAAATCCAGCCTTTCAAGTCTGTGCTCTGCAGTATCTCCAAACAGCTGAAAGGGAGGAAAAAGATGAAATAAATAATTTTTCACCCAAAGCAAAAAACAGAGTTTTTAGGTGCAAAGGGGCAGAAAATGCCTCAGCAATTCCCAGTAGCCAGTATCTGGCTGTCAATCTGCAATACTCCTTGAGGTGCAGCTAGCATCACATTTGGGAAGAACATCAGCAAAGGGGCTCCCAGAGGCAGACTTACTTCAACTCCCTGGGAGGCAATTCTATTGAGCCTATTTTATTCTTAGAAGTGTTTTTCCTCATTTTGTTTCCAAGCCCTTTGGAGGACACAAGTTGCAAGGTCAGCACAGCAAGACTTCCGGGAGAAAGTCTGTTTTCCAATTCCAGTTTGATTTTGCAGACTCCAGTGATAAAATTTGGGTCACTCGGAAAGATTCCCTGACTCTTGGAACTGAAAGCAGCTCTAGCTGCTACACACAGACAGCTTCCTCCCTCTCCTGCTAATCCAGGCTGTGAAATCATAGTGACACTTTTTGCTAATATCTCACACAGGAAAGCAGAAGTGTTTTCCTTCTGTCTCAGCCAACTTCCACAGTGCCACAATTCATACCCACAGCAATTTTTTCTCATATGCATCCTATGATTTTTGTGTCTCAAAGCACACCACACAGCCTGTTTACAATCACCTCTACCCATCTGCGAGATTCTCTTGTAACCTCACTTGGGTTTGCAATTCTTACTATTCAGAAGCGTCAGGAAATTCAAGAAAGCACTGTGAAGGCAGGAGGAGCTACTGCCAGGAGAGAATTGTTCCAGGACATCATTCAAATCCTTTTCTTAAATCACTAAAAAAAACCCCTCAGCTGGCTTTCTTACATGATTCATTCCCACTATCAATCACAAYTGACACTGGCAGGAAGGAGAGGCTGGGAAAGTGGAGAGGAGGAGGTGGGGAACTGCTGCCCTAGATGTAGGAAGGAAAAAGCTGGCAGGGTAAAACTCTGTCTTTCTGCAGAGCTAGAAGGACATTTAGATGTGTAACAGTCAGGTACTGAAASCTGATGGTATATTTTGCCTGCACAGAGACAAAATTCTTAGATTAGAAACATCTCTAGCCTATGAGATATTCAGTGCTGTTCAGATATTCAATGCTTGTTCAGCATTGTCTTTATCTTCTTCTCCCATGTGGCCATGAGGGAAAAAGCCTGGAGAGGCACCTGACAGCTGTACTTGAGCCCCTGCCATGCTGAGTTCAGWGGGCACCTTTAAACACTATGGTCACTCCCTAAATTGGGCACATTGGTCAGTTTTCATTTCACTGCACMAGGCTTTCTTTAAATTGAATTTAATCAGTATGTAACAATTCAAGAAAGATTTAATTCAGCATTGTACTGAACACTTTTTAAACAGTAAATATCCTTGCCTGGGATTCATGTTCCTCATCACCACAAAATCCCAYCTTCTTTTTGTCTGTCCCCTTTACTCAGTTTGCTACGCTACTCAGAGTAAAAACCTCTGAAGAGCAAACCAAGACTGCACACAACAAAGTAAGTGCTCCTACCTTTCTTTTGTCAGGGGAACACCAGGTTTAACTAGAAGAATTCCGTATCTATGGAAAAACAAACCAACACAAACACGTAAAAGCCACATCCTTGATGGGTTGAGCTGACCCCTATCATCCTGACAGCAAACAACAATAAATCACAACCTTTCCCACTCAGCCTCCCACAGCAAATAACCCCATGACCTCAGACCATATGAACTTTGAAGAAGCTGTTTTACTCCTTGCCCATATCTGGTTATCAGGGTCATYTCCCTAATAATACTTAACAAGGAATATTCACAGGCTTTAACAGACCTTTCAGCAAATTCCTCAAAGGAGGGTCTCCAGGAGAAACCGTCTCTTCGGATACGGATTGTCTCCAGCAGCCCATTGTACCGGAGCTGAAGCAGCACCACAAAGARGATCAGAGAAACAAAGGAAAATAGGTCATTAGGATATGGGTTTGTTCCTTTGCAGGCAGAAATTACTTCACTCAGCCCTAAACTGCTTCAGTTCAAAATGAAAAAGTCTTTTTCAGAAAATGTTTCCTTGGTTAAGGACCAAGTTGACCACATCCTGTAATTCTGATGATTAACCACTCTGAGTAAAAAGTTGGAAACCATAAAAACCAGTGACTGAAATAATTTCACCTTCCAGCCATGGGTACTGCTGTGCCTCTGTCCCTTAGAGGATAGCTTTATATTTCCAAATCTGGACAYTGAAGTACTCTGAGGCATGGATGAACTTCCTCTTCATCCCATCCTTCTTTACATACATTAAAGAGGCCACTGAGTTTTCTGAACTCTTCCAATCAGTTTCAGTATTCTTTAAAGCATCTAGACCTCAGACCTGACAGAACGTCCAAATACAGTCATATCAGTGCATTTCAGAACCTATCAAAGCAATCCCATCTTGATTTCTATTCAGAGTTGCCCTGGCTGATGGGTGAGAGCAGTCTCCTCTGGGAAGCATTTTTTCCAGAGCACTGTCTGTACGAGTCCCCATCCAGGGGAGATGCAAAGGATGAATCCTAGTGCCCAACATGGAGGTCTCATCGCAGCCATGAAGAAGAAATGACAGAGAACCAAGACTGCAAAATCTGGACCTAGCAGTCTGTGTCATAAACACAACCAAGTACTTTGAATCTTTACACATACATGAAGTGTGGTCACTCTTTCTCTCACAAGGGGAGACTCAAAGTGAGTCAGCTTCCTCAGCCTTCTGGTGGAATCTGCCCTCCAGAGGATGGAGATGTGGCAGAAGTACTCTGCTTTTCCTCACCTGCAGCAGCACCACGTCATCGTCCAGAATGCCTGGCTCCTTCTGGCTGTTGGGCTTTATGCAGCGCACRAAGTGTGGGTTGGCAGAATACATCCTCTCCATGAGCACCATCAGGGAATGCTGGCAAGGGCAGAGGAAGATCAACAGTCCATCAAGCCAAAGCACTGCCAGATGTGCAATATCCTGCAGCAAGAACTGCTTTGTCACTGCACAAGAGATTCCTGGGTTCTGGAAACAACTGGGTCAGTCCTACCATGATCAGCCCTGTTTGGCAACCAGGAAAATCCCTATCTACGTCTGCTTTAGCCATGTTTAGCACTCTGGAAGCAGTGCAGTGATATTTGCAATGATAAAGTTATCACTGCTTTCATCTCATGGGGCATCCCAGGGCAGCAATACGTACCCGGAACTGAGCTCCAGCAGATTGTTTCCGTGTGCTGCTGAACTTGTCATCTGCTCCTGGTATGACCTGAAACCAGATCAAAACAAGGGATCAGCCCTGGAAGGAGTGCTTGATTGACAGCCAAAGAGCACTGCTGGAAAGCAGATGGTAAAAAATGAGGGAGAATGGATTTAGTGGGATGGAAGATATGTTAAACATGTAATGGCAGAAGCAAGCAGAAAACATGCTAAAAAACAAAGGAGAAACTGTTGCAAGTTGATTGCTGCCTGCTCTTATTTTAAACCAATTTCTCTCTGCTCTTTTTCAGCCAGTTTCTCAAACAATAATAATCAGGTAACATTTATCATTGTCATGTGGACCTGAAGTGCAATACCTTGGCTTTCACATGAGGCATCAGGGTCCCCGTCCTGGAGATAGTGGCTGGAAGGACAGAGACAATTAGGTAATTTTCTTGTTCAATTAGCTAATTTTCCACCTTTGCTTGTAACCAACCAGGGTTAAATATTCAAACCTCACTTCACATACAAGGCTCCTTACAAATACTGARCCAGACACAGTGTTAGGTTTTGCCATGTGGAACTACAAGGAAAGAGCTAAAAAAGGAAGAAGAAAATGCAAATGTATGAAACACACAAGGCAGGCAATATTATTTTCTGCCACTGAGAAGACAAGCCAATCAGGTAATTAAATAAAACTAAATGATTTTCAATAAAAGTATCATCAATGGGAATCTAACAGTGCAGAAAAAATGGTACAGGCAGTAAATGGGGAACTCACCTACAGCACTCAGGAGGTTATTTAAAGTGAGATAGCTTATAACCAATTCAGTGACAGGATGAGAAAATCAGGGAAGCATAATTTACTAAAGGAGCTAGTAACAACCTTGTTCACCTTTGATGCAATGGCTTCATGTGGATCATAAAATCACAGAATTTATGAGGTTGGGAGTATCCTCCAGAAGTCATTGGGCCAAACCCTTTGCTCAGCACCTAGAGCCATTGCCCACGACTGGACAACCAACCTGAGAACAGGTTGTGTCTGATGTTTATGAACTTTGAAAGAGTAAGGACTATGCTAAGTAGCTTCAGTAACAGTACAGAAGTAGTAATGAAGAAAGATAGTCTTGAGTAGCAGTTGAAAAACACAGGGGAGAACAGAAATTAAATTCATCAGATTCTTGTAAATCCCAGAAAGTGGCTTGGACTGAATGGGACAAAAAAACATTACAAAATTTCTATACAAGAAGTACTATGCTCAGCCAGCCAGTTTCCAAGGAAGCATCCACCTGACCCTTTCTCAAAATTTTTAATTTAATTAGAAGCCTTGGAGCATCTRAAGGCATACTGATAACTGGAAAAAGGGAGTGTAGTGGTAGGAGAAAAATAATGTATGACCTCAGAGTCTTTTAACAAGTTGTAAGAAGAAGCTATGGCCTTGACCAGCTTCATTTCTMGAGAAGAACAGAGAGTATAGAAAGAGTCAGTGGACACAGTCCTGTACTGGCCTTGGAGAAGATGGGATRACATCTGAACAGTGGCTAATTCTCTGGAAGGGGATATTCCATGGCAGGAATAAAGAGCTCTGACAGCTCAGTACATGCCAGCAGCCCTACTCCAGGCTGCAGCCTTCCCAGAGTCTCCCTGGGGCTGCCAGAAGTGAAACACACTCGTGAAACACATGAACATCATGCCTGCACTTAACTCTTGCCAAGGTGGGCCTTGGCTCCTGATGGATGTGCAGAGGGACTTGCCTGTGAACAGCACACTGAGCAAGGGGGTGACACTGTTGATGAAGAGCCCACGGATGTTGGCTGGCAAGGTGTCTCTGTTCTTCTCTAGAAAGCCCCTGGCAGCGTATTGTACCTGSGAAAAGGGCAGCAAGTCACTAAAAACAGCAGTTCTCATGAAAAGAGAAAAGGCTGTGAAAGCCTCCTCCACAGCCTGCCAGGAGCTGATCATATGTTAAACTGAATGTTCTCTGGCTTGCACACGAATTCTTTAAACATACATGCACCCCACTCAGATGCCAACCCTGAGGAATAAAATCATGCACATGGCAGAGGCATCAGAACACAAGAGTGCAGCACAACACTAAGGCATCCACCTTTTACA